CAGCCAGGCCTGCAGCAGTGTCTCCCCTCCCTGCCCCAAGACAGACACAGTCAGTCCCACAGCACCCATGGCACCAGTTTTGCTTGTCTGCAGCTTAAGGTGCGGTTCCCCGCAACCCCCTGCACCGATCTTCTTGAAACATGGCAGGCTTTGTGGCCTCAGTAAGACCTACCACCCCTGCAGTTTTGACCCCCCCCCGTGTTGTAACACATAGATGTGACAGGAGTTTTGCTTTCAAGAATTTGGGGTACAGTTGCCCCGAGCCCCTGCACCAATCTTCTTGGAACTTGGCAGGCTTTGTGGCCTCAGTAAGAGCTACCACCCCTGCAGTTTTCACCCTGCTATGTTGTAATGCCTAGATGTGACATGAGTTTTGCTTTCAAGAATTTGGGGTGCTGTTCCCCCCAAACCCCTGCATTGATCTTCTTGAAACTTGGCAGGCTTCATCCTCTTTGGATAGTCTACCACCCCTGAAAATTTATCCAAATTGGACAAAAAACAAAGTTATAGATATTTTATTGTTTCCCCATTATACCCTATGGCTGGATCTCCGAGGCAACTCCGAAGCTCTTCAGGAAGCCGAACAAGGCAGCACTTAGACCTGGATGTGCTGCTTTGGACCCCAAAGCCTTGCACAGCCCTACTTGTCACCAAGTCAGCAAGAGAAGAATGCTGAGCCTTTGCAGAAGCCCATTCCTAGATGTGTTTCCAGCCAGAAAGAGGCAAGAAATAGAAATGCTTGAAATTTGTGCACAAAATGTTTTTCCCCTCAAAAATCAGCATTTTTTCTAAAGAAAGTTTCATTCAAAATATCAGCATCTTCTTAATTTTCAGTTTTACATAATATTTTCTGTAGCACCTTTTAACTCTTGGATGAATTGTTTTCTCTTCTGGAAAATTATATTTTTGTTTGTTTTTTTCCCCCTTCTGCTGCATCTGGTTGTTCAGTAAGCAAACACTTTTAAAACATTTTTTTGTGGCAAATGAAACGGTCACTTTTAAAATTTAAATTGTGTTTGAAAATGATTTTTATAAGAAATTAGTTAAAACATGAGTGACAGAAAATGGGTCCTTTTGAAACCCTGTGAAATGCACCACATTTCTGACCACTTCTAGTGCTGAATCTGCATCCCTCAGAAGGACTTCTGTCAAAGCCATCCTCAAATTGCTGCTGAGCATGTGACTCTTAGACACCTAAGCCTGGATATTGGCTCAATGTGTTAGAGTTGTCAAGCCAGTAACATTATAAACCAGTGTTTCTCAACCTTTTTAGACCTAAGGCACATCTCCAAAACATTTCAAAATTCAGCAGCACCCTATTTTAAAAACTAAATATATTGCAGGTATTATATAAGCAAAATTTTATTATTAAAATTACTAGTTATTGGTTGCTTTGGTCATTATATTTATACTTAGTATACTTATATTATATTCACCCCACTGCCACAGCCAGGTGGAGCTGCATGTCTCCTGCAGAGAGCCAGGCTGGGAAGCAGCAGTGGCAGGAACACATGCTCTTGCTGTAACCCTTCTCGATCCACCCTTGCATGCCCACAGGGCATTTTCACCCTGCAGTGGCAGCAGTCTGAAGACAGATGCTGCTGGCCACCAGGTAGAACTACCCTGTGTACCTCCATTTTCAGGAGCTGAACTGGAAAGAGCTATAGCAGAAGCAGTGTGTCTGCCTGCATAATGTGATGCAGGCAGGGGTGGCTTTCTCCTCAGCCACTTCTCAGTTCAGCTTCAATGTGCCTTCTGAAAACAGATGAGTGTGGGGCAGTTTGCTTATAAAGGCCATTATCCTGACATTACAAAGGTTTGTTAGGGTACATGGTGGGGGTCTGTTTTCAGCACAGTCTGGGGGCTTTAAAAAAATCTCTCCTCAAACAGGGAAACACCCAGGCATCCAAATGAAGAACTTCTTGGTGGATCTGTAATGTATGTGCAATGGAGAGGGTGTGTCTTTGCCAGATTCTAGATACTGTTTTTGTAGCATGCGTCGAACACAAGCTGGCACATGCCCAAAGACTGGTTTTTGACAGCTGCCCCTGTTGTTGATGGACTGTCACTGTGAGCCAGCTGGAACTGTTGACTTTGATTCTCAGCTACTGTCCTGCTCCCATGACAAAACTGTACACAAGTGGAAAGACCATAGCAAGGGGTAGAACTCTGGAGCTTCCCAGTGGAGAGCATGGAGGTAAAACATGAGGTCTAACTTTTCTGTTTAGAGGGGGCAATAATTGCTATATTTGAGAAGGACTTGGGAGCAAGAGGACAGCCTGAAACCACTGAATCACAGATGAAGGGAGAATGTGTATTAGTATTGTGGCTTTTATATATCTGTGACTCAAACGTTTAAGGAGTTAAGTCACTAGGGTTAGGAAATTCCTTTGCTCTTTGTGCATTCTTGCTTACCTACTATGTTGTTCACAAACAAGTTAAACTAGAAGCCCATGGTGCACACATCCTAGACGGAGCTAAAAGGCACTGGGGGCTTAGGAGGTCTCAGTCACTAATTTTCGGGGCCAGGGTGGCCAGGCAGATGTGCCCCATATTTCAAGGTAGGCCATTAGGAGGTCTGAACCTGAGAATGTGTCGTAATATCCCCAAAACAGTAATTAGGAACAGTAATTAGGATCATTGTGTTGGAAGGGACCTTGGATAGTCATCTAGTGCATCCTCCTGGTAGGATCAACCCTTACTAAACCATCCCAGTCAAGTGTCTGTCTAACCTGCTCTTAAAAATTTCCGAAGATGGAGATACCACAAGCTCACTAGGCAGCCTATTCCAATGCTTTACTGCTCTTCTAGTGAGAAAGTTCTTCCTAATCTCCAACTAAATTTCCACTGCTACAGCTTGAGGCCACTGGTCCTAGTCTTGTCCCCTACAGTCACAGAGAAAAGGCTCCCTCCTCTCTATATTTGCTCTTCAAGTACTTAAAGACTGCTAGCAAATCTCCCCTCAATATTCTTTTCTCCAGACTCATTCTCGTTCTTTCAGCTTTTCCTTGTAAATTAAGTTTCCCAGGCCTCTAATCATTTTATTTCCCTTCCACTGGATTTTTTCCAGTTTGTTCACATCCTTCTTGAAGTTTGGGGCCCAAAGTTGGACAGGATATTCCAAGTGAGGCCTCACCAAGGACAAATATTGCAAATTCTCTCAATTTACAAAAGACACTCCTGTTAATACAAACCAGTATATAGTGCTCCCTATTTTTGCAACAAGAGTACACAGTTGGCTCATATTCAACTTACAGTCTACTGTAATCTCTAGGTCCTTCTCTCCAGTACTGCAGGTTAGCCACTCATTCCCCAGTCTGTATTTGTGCATGCAGGCATTTCTTCCTAAGTACACTTGTTTCTGACCATTTCTTCAATTTATACAGGATCCTATCCTCCTGCTTATATAATTTATACAGGAGGATCCAAGCCCTAACCTCCAAAGTGTCTGCAGCTTCACCCAGCTTGGTGTCAAATTTGCTCTGTGGACACTCAGTGCCATCCTCTAAATCATGAAGGGAGACCTGGAGAGAAGTGGGCAGTGGAGTCCCCCAGGGCTCGGTCCTTGGGCCCACGCTGTTCAATCTTTTTATCAGCGATTTGGACGACGGGGTGAAAAGCAACCTGTTTAAATTCGCTGATGATACCAAAATTTGGGGTGAGGTGAGCACGCTAGTAGGGAGGGAAAGACTGCAGCAAGACCTAGATAGGTTGCAGGGGTGAGCTAACAAAAACAAGATGTGTTTCAATACTGACAAGTGCAGGGTGCTGCACTTGGGCAATAGTAACCAGCAGCACACTTATAAGCTGGGAAACTCCCTTCTTGAGAGCACAGAGGCAGAAAGGGATCTTGGAGTCATTATTGACTCCAAGATGAACATGGGCCGACAGTGTGAGGTCACGGTTGGCAGGGCTAACCGGACCTTGTCATGCATGCACAGGTGTATCTCAAGTAGGGCCAAGCAGGTGATCTTCCCCATCTGTGGCACTGGTCAGGCCACAGCTGGAGTACTGCGTCCAGTTCTGTGCACCCCATTTCAGGAGGGATGTGGACAACACTGAGAGGGTCCAGAGGAGGGCCACCTGCATGATCCGGGCAGGCCCTACAGTGAGAGACTGCGGGACCTGAACCTGTTCAGCCTTCACAAGAGAAGGCTGAGGGGGGACCTGGTGACCATCTGTAAACTCACTAGGGGGGACCAGAAGGGTTTGGGAGAGACCTTGTTTCCCCTAGCACCCCCTGGCATAACAAGGAATAACGGCCACAAGTTGTTGGAGAGTAGGTTTAGATTAGACATCTGTAAGAACTACTTCACAGTCAGGGCAGCTAGGATCTGGAGCCAACTTCCAAGGGAAGTGGTGCTGGCTCCTACCCTGGGGATCTTTAAGAGGAGGCTTGATGCCTGCCTAGCTGGAGTCATTTGAACCCAGTTTTTCTCCTGCCCAGGCAGGGCGTTGGACTTGAAGATCTACAAGGTCCCTTCTGACCGGACTTCTATGATTCTATGATTGTAAGCAATACTGGACCCAGGACAGACCCCTGGGGAGCCCCACTTGACACCTCCTCCCAGCTAGACATTGAGCCATTGATGGCTACTTTTTGAACACAATGATCCAGCCAGTTTTGTATGCACCTTACAGTACTTTTGTCTAATCTGTATTTTTCACTAATTACCTAGTAAAGAAATTGATTAGACTCTGCCCAGATCAGATCCAGCTGGCTTGGAAGCCTTCAGAGGCCTGCCAGTGGGAAGAGGAAAAAAGGAACGGGGGAAAAAAATCTAAAGCTGGAGGAAGAGTGCAAGGTGCAAAAGGATTCATTATCAGCCATTATCAATGTCTCCCTGTGAGTAGGTGACTTTTGCACCTGTGTAGAAAGTCTTCTAGTTAGCCTCTGACCTAATGGGGTCCCAATATAACCAAATGGTATGTCATTATCAGCGCCTATTATTGACGCAAGTTTATTGCCCCATCCCATAAAAGGCTCATTGCCAGCTTACCTGTACATGGTACTGTGAAGTCTCATGCATGATGACATTGGAGTTGGAGTATTTTTTCCTTTGCTCTGCAAAAAAAAAGGAAAACAAAAAAAACAAGCCTTGTTTTAAGGTTCAGTTGTTAATAGAATAAAATTCAAGGGCTGTAGCTCCCAGGACTGGGCTTTACTATCCTTCTCATGCCCTCTGGACTTACTGGGTCATTCAAGTAATTAGAAATGAGGCATGCTTAGAATGTATTAATAACCGCGGTCGCAAGGACTGGCAACCAACCCATCTTGATCTGAATGCTGCCAGTAACTTGATTTCTGGGGTTTGGCACCTGCTTGCCAAGTAAACAAAGCCATCTGCCAGAGCTTTGGTTAAATGAACAGGGAGCATGAAACACTGGGCATATCTACTCTGGCACTGCACTGTTCCTGAGGCTACTGCCAAAATATAAGCTCCATCCATCT